GTCAATTTTTTTTGTTGATATAGCCAATTATGCTGATAGTTTTCCTAATATTGAACCATTCCTACATTCTTGGTATAAATCCCACCTGGGCATGTGTATCATCTTTACAGTTTGCTGTAATCTCTTTGTGAATATTTTATTTAAAGTTTTTGCCTCAATATTTATTAGGGTAATTGGTCTATAACTTTCTCTCTCTATTTTGACTCTTCCCAGTTTAGGTATCAGCATTACATTTGTATCATAGAAAGAGTTTGGTAGGACTCCTTCTTTGTCTATTTTTCTAAACATTTTATGTAGTGTTGGAATTAATTTTTCTTTAAATGTTTGATAGAATTCACTTGTGAATCCATCTGGCCCTGGAGATTTTTTTTTGGGGAGTTCATTGATGACATGTTCCATTTCTTCTTTTCTTCAGTTAGCTTTTGTACTTCCCTTTCCATTTGGCCAATTCTAGTGTTTAAGGTTCAGTGGATTTTTATACCTCCTTTTCCATTTAGCCAATTGTATTTCTTAAGGAGTTGTTTTCTTCAGTCAATTTTTGTGTGTCCTTTTCCAAGCTGTTGAGTCTCTCTTGCATACCTGTCATTTTTTCCCCCAATTTTTCTTCTACTTCTTTTATTTGAGTTTTAAAATCCTTCTTGAGCTCTTCCAAGAAGACTTTTTGAACATGGGACCAATTCATATTTCCTTTTGAGGTTTCAAATGTAGGTATATTAATGATGTTATCCTCTTCTAAGTTTGTGTTTTGATCATCCCTGTCACCATAATAATTCTCTGTGGTCAGTGTTCTTTTCTCCTTCTTGCTCATGATGTTTGCCTATTTCCTGGCTTTTTAAGTTGAACTCTCCTGCTGGAGCACAAGGGGCACTGTCCCAAGCTTCTTGTGCTGTGGGCCTACTGGTCTGGTAGCTTACCTGGTACTGAGCTGGGGTGGTGTCTGGCATGTGCTGACATCAGGTAGGATTTTTCTGCAATTCCTTGGGGCTGTGCTGAAGCAGGGGTAGGTCCACTGCTGGAGGGCATCTGCACGTTCTGGGTTATCCTTGAACACAAGCAGGTCCAGCTACTGGAGATGCCTGTCCATCTGAAGCTGTACCAGGGCATGGGGCAGTCCAGTCACTGGAAGATACCTGCCTACCTGGGGGTGCACTGAAGCATAGTGTCTGCTGGTTCTCGTGGCTATACTAAGGCATGTGGGGGGTCCTGTTGTGGGTGTTTGCCTGCTCCACCACTCTGGGGCTCAGGATGTCCTGCTCATTTGCTGAGGTGGGGCTTGTTGCTGGCTTGCCAGGACACTTCCTGTCCTGGAATGTGTTCCTCTTTTGCCTTAGTGAAATGGACCTTTTTTTTGCTAATCCTCCAGGTTTCTTGGGCTAAGAGATTGCTCCACCCTGTCTTTCTGCTGGCTCCACTGTTCTAGAATTCATCTTGGGACTCTGTTTTCTGTTTTTTTTTAAGAGGTCAAAAAGGGAGCATGATAGGAATTTATTGCTTTTTCTTTTGTGTTGGCTCCCAGAAGTCAGAAGTAAACTATTTCAATGACTTATTAGCAATAATAAGAAATTCCACAAGCCATAAATGAGCTTCCAAAGTAAAACTAAAATTCTGGACCAGATGGATACAATCATTTATAGAATGATTAATTCCAATAATACATGGAATGTTTGCAATAATAAGAAAAAGCACCCTTCCAATATCTTTTTCTGATATAAATAAGGTGTTGATAACTCAACCAGGGAGAAACAAAGCAGAGAAAGCAATCTAAAGATATTAACCCTAATGAACATTGACACAAATATGACAAATATTATTCTAATGGCTATAACAATGTCATAAGATCATACACTATTACCAGAATTGTTTTCATATATGGAAGATCATAAATATAAGCCATGTTAATAATATCATATGATAATATAAGTAGATACTGAAAAACCTTTGAGTAAATCAAGTAATCTATTTTTTATTAAAAATTCTATAAATCATAGGAATCAATGGACTTTTCCTTAATATAGCAACCCATCTTTAAATCAAAGCACAAATATTATATACAATGGAGATTCCTTTCCAGTAAGATCAAGGGCAAAATGAGAATGTCCATTATCATCACTGCTATAATATAGTGTTAGAAAAACTAGCTAGAGCCATAAGAAAAGAACTAGAGAGAAGCAGCATAGGCAAAGAGAAAACAAAATTATCTCTCATGCAGATGATAAGATTGTGTACTTGTAGAACTCTAGAGTGTAGATTGATCGATCTCTAGAGAGTCAAAAATTAATTGAAATAATAACTTCTGCAAAGTTGAGGGATGTAAGATTAAATCGCATAAATTATGATCATTCCTCTATATAACCAACAAAATATGCAGGAATAGCTAAAAATGAAAGTACATTCAAATAACTACAGAAGCTATAAATTTGAGAGTATATCTACCAAGCTCCAACAAGAGACCCTATGAATCTCACTGTAAAACACTCTGTTGAAATAATGGGAGACCTAAATAATTGGAAAAATGTTGATATTTCTCATTGGTGGGTCAAACCATTATATAAAAATGATAATACTACATAAATTAATCTTATTCAGTGCCATGTAATTCAGGTTTCCAAAAGAATATTTTGGAATAGCATAGCAATCCAGTGGCAGAAATTAGATTTAAACCAAAATACCACACCATATGCTAAGATAAGCTCCATGTGGATATATGACCTCAGTGCAAATGTTCATATCCTAAGTTAAAGGAGTAAAGAAGAAATTACCTTTCAGATCTATGGAGAGATGAAAAATTCGTGACTAAACAGGTGAGTAAGGATCATGCAAGAAAAAAAGACAATTTTAATTATCTGAAATTAAAAAGCTTTTGCACAAATCAAGCACAGTAAAAATTTCAAAGGCAAAGAGATAACTGGAAAAATATTTGTATCAAGTTTCTCTGATGAAGTTTTTATGCTCATAACATTTAAGGAACTGTTTCAAATTTATATGACTAAAAGCCATTCCCCAATAAATAAATGGTTAAGGACATGAACAAAGAGTTTTTCAAAGGAAGAAACTTACAACAATCATAGAAAAAAATGGTTGAAATGAGTAAAAACAAAAATGAAAAATGACTGCAAAAATGCTATAAATCAAAAATAATTAGAAAAATGAAAATTAAAGCAACTTTGAGGTTCTACCTCACACCTACCAGACTGGCAAAGATGGCAAAAGAGGAAAATGACAAATATTATAGGGTCTGTGGAAAACAGGTACCCCAGTGTGCCTTTGGAGGAGCTGTGATTGCTCCACTCATTCTGGAAAGCAGTCTGGAATTATGCCCAATAAGATCCTTAAATGTGCATAGTCTTTGATCCATCTGTACTACTACTGGGACTGTACTCCAAAAAATCATAGAAAAAGGAAAGGGTCCTATACATTCAAAAATATTTATAGTAGCTGTTTTTGTGGTAACTAAAAATTGGAAATTAAGATGTTCTTCAGTTGGTAAATGGCTAAACAAATTGTAGTGTATAAATCTAATGGAATTCTACTGTGACATAACAAATGATGAAATGGACAGTTTCAGAGGTTGTTGGGAAGGCCTTTAGGAACTAATGGAAAGCAAAGTGAACAGAATGATGAGAACAATTTCTACATGGATAACATTATAGAGAAAAACAACTGAACCAAGAGTCCAAGAGAATGAAGATGAAACATGCCTCTCACCTCCTAATAGGGAGGTAATTAACATAAAATGCAGGAAGAAACACATTTTTGTTTTTGTTTTTTTTTCTCTCTCTCTTTTTTTTTTTGGTGAGGCACTTGGGGTTAAGTGACTTGCCCAGGGTCACACAGGTAGTAAGTGTCAAGTGTCTGAGGTTGGATTTGAACTCAGGTCTTCCTGACTCCAAGGCCAGAGCTCTATCCACTGCGCCACCTAGCTGCCTCAACACATTTTTGGACACAGCTAATGTGATCATTTGAATAACATTAATATACCACATTTTGTCAGGATGTGCAGCTATGTATTAAGGGCATCATTGGGATGGGAATTACTTTTTTCTTTGCTCATTTGGTTGGGGCCAGGGGGCCTAGTGGAAGCAGCAGCTAAATAAAGGAGATAGCCATAAATTAGGGAATGGGTAAAAAATTTTCACATATGTACATAAAGGAGCATCACTTCATATATGAATATGATGACCATAAAGACTCCATAGAAACCTGGGAAGGATTAACTGAACTAGTGCAGAAGAAAGTAAACAAAGCAGGAAAACAGCGTATACATTGACTTCACTGTTGTAAATGGAAAAAAAAGAAAATCAAAACTGAATGTTGTGATAGTATAATGATCAAGTATTGCCCCAAATAACAGATATAAGAATATACCTTCCTCTCTTCATTGTGGAAGAGGGAGGATTGTAGATGTGTAATCCATATAACATCAGATTTACCTTTTATGTTGGCTGGTTTTCCTAAAAACTTTTTTCCTCTTTTTTTATTCTTTGTTATAAGGAATGGTTGTAGGAGCGGGAGATGAGGAGACATATGTAGAAATGAAAGTGTTGTGAAAAACAAGTACCAGTGGAAATTTTTTCAAAATAAAAAGAATTATGTGAGTATGTCCAGCCTGGAGCAGTGCGGCAGTGGTGAAATGCCAAAGATACTGAGTGTTCTTGTCAAGAAAGAGGAGTTGAAATGAATTCCTCTCTCCTTCATTATTTCTAATAATTCCTAATCAGCATCATTATCTTTCTCATTTTCTTCACCCTCATGTGACACAATGTTGACCCAATATAACACAGGCATGAGGATCAGAACAAGAAGAATGGGCTGGTAGATGGGGAGATTAGGAAGGGGCAGTTTTTAAGGAAATTGAACTGTTTAGGATGGCATTGGGATGTCAGAGGATAGTGGCTATAAAGGAGTGGTGGCTCTGACCTCCTTTCCAGAAAGAGAAGAAAAGCAGTAAGTCCTGGAGAAACACATGGGTCTTTTAACCTCTGCTTGTATGTCTCCTACAGCTTGGAAAGCTTCAAGGTAACTTATTCGTGTTGTCAGTATCTCTTCTGTGTTCCCAGTTTGAAAAGCCTGCACTTGAATGTTATTTTCTTTAAGGATGATGGCAAGAAGCTGCCATGTGCGACCTTGGGAAAAAAGAACTGTCAGCTACAGACACTAAGGTGAGTCCCCATAGATGTCTGCTCTTTAGAGGCTCCTGAGCATTAGGGCCGTAAGGTTAAAATAAGCAGAACGAACAACACTGATTTAGGGAGGGTGACTGAAAACTGCCTGCCTGAGATCAGGGGAGGGCTTTACCCACTTTTATTCCTCTAGGGAATTTTGCACTATAGACCCCTTTCTTCACCAGGTTTATTCAGGGGAGTGCCCCCTTCCCTCTGATATGCCATTGAAATTTCTCTGACCTTCCCTTAATTTATTCCCATGAATTGTGCAAAGTTCCCCCTTATGTTATATTCCCCCTATGTTTCTTGTGCTAGAGGAGCTTAGTTCTGGTGTGAGAAGGATGAATTGCACTGATAGGAAATAATAGGGAAAAATAACTGCTATTTCAGTGAATAAATGCTATTGAAAGGGTCCCTTTTTGTGGACAAGGGTCTCTTTCATACTCCTTCACCCCAGCTTCCCACCATTACAATCTGCAAAATCATTGTCTACTCAGCCCATTACCTTCACAGCCCTCTGGTAGATTTGGATCAGTGTCCCAGAGGAGAGCAGAAACAGAGCTGTCATCACCATTGATACTGTGGCTCTTGCCTCACTTGAAGAGTTGGTGGTGGTGGGGGAGGAGTGGAGGCATTTTATTCTTGGCACTGGCTCCAACCTGTGAAAAGGCAGGGGTGGCAAGGTCAGGGAAGAGTTAGTAATCTCCTTTGACTAGAACAGAGAGAATGAGTGAACCATGGTAAAATAGAGAACTATCCGCTCCGCCATTGTTATCCCTACTATCCCTCTCTCAATACTTTTTTGGTTTCTATGTCACAAAGTTGGCTTAAATTGAGTTTATTGTCCCCACACACACACACACACACACACACACATACATACTCCTGATCTTTTTATACAAACTGTTGTCTTGTCAAGTCATCCTATACTTACACAGTTGGTTTTTTGAATCCTGTTTAATAATACCTTCTAGAATTTTGTTTGGAATCCAAGTGAAGCTTCCTGGCCTCTTACTTGAAGAACACCCCTTCTCCCCCTTTTCAATATTGAGACACTTGTCTCATTCCAGTTCTGTGGCAATTTTTCTGTTCTTTCATGTCATGTCTAAAATTACCAATATGCCACTCCACTTTTGTTACTTTTGGGGGTTTCCTCACCAGGAAGCTGCCTATATTAGTGAAACCAAAGGTCCAATCCCTCTCTCTGTCCCTATCCCCTATCCTTCATACAGATGTAGGGACATATGGGGATCTGAGTGGGAAAGGATGTGTAGTTTATTAGGGATCATTTTTTGAAAAAGTGAATGCAATGACGATAGTATTAGATTTATTGAGTATGGCGATTCTAAATGAACTGTGGGATGGAACTCTTTCTCACTGACAAATATGGAGTGAATGAATCCTAGGGATTGTAATTAATCATGTCCTCTCTGGTTTTGTCTCCTTCAGTATAACTCAGTCTCAAAGAGCTGGCTTTTGTTATCTGGATTTTTTCTCTGCTTTCCTTAACAATGAGAGCCTGAAAAACTTGAACCTGAATTTTACTTGGCTTGGGGAGGGTGAAATGAACCTTCTGTGTAATGTCTTGGCAAAACAGGGTTGTAAACTACAGACACTCAGGTAAGCCCCTATGAGTTTTCTTTGGGGTAATTATCTGAGATTTGGTGGTTAATGTGGGAAGTAGGGAAGGAAGGAGGAGCACAAGTTTGGGGAGGGAGATTGGAAGCTCCCTTCTTGAGGCAGGTTTAGGAATCAAGGTCTCACACATTTTCTTTGTAGTAGTTATTGTTTCTTCTGAGAAACTGGCCAGAAAGTGGTTTGCTCAGGGGTTTTTCAAATTATCTCTGAAAGGCCTGTTTGAAGCATCCCTTAATTCCAGCACTGTCAGCTGATAAACATTTTTCTCTCTCATACCCTGCCCGTTTTGTTTTTTTTTCTATGTTAAACGGCTCAGTCCTAAAGTGAGGAGGATGAACAAGCTTGAGGGAGAGGCAGAACAAAAATTTGATGAAGAAAGACTCTGCCATATTCAGTGAATAGATTCATCAAGGTGGGACCTGCTTTATTCACTAATTCCACAGGCTGGAGATGGAGACATCATGTTTGTTTCTCAAACCTATTACGGAGTGACCAACTTGACACAGACTTCAAAAGTCATCTATTCCAACATGTCCCTGAATAGGAATTCTCTTACAACATCCCTGAAACTAGCTTGAACACTTTACATAGTTAGAAAATTTGTCTTGATACAGCACTAAGTTCTGGCTCTCTGAAACTATTGTTTAATTTTCAAAGAGGTTGAACTCATTTCAGACCTCTTCCATGTGATTGTCCTTCAGTTACTTAAAGAAACCAGCCTATATTTGTCATTGTCTCCAATCCTCCTGAATTCTTCCCGTGCTCTTCTGTACATCTTTCTTGTCAGTCTGCTTCTTAAATGAAGCAAAGATCCCTTTGTGGTAAGAAGAGGGAGAGGATGGTCCTTTTGTGCACTACCCTGCTCAAGATACACTAGGCCTCTGTCCTCTCTTTTGTAGGTTTCACTGCTGCCATTCTTTTGTATGTCATAGTTGTTTCTCTTTAACTTCTCCTCACCCACTGAACCCTCCCTTGAGACTAAGAAGAGCATTAAGCAAAATCGAATGACTCAGCAACAATCTCTGGCTGTGTACATATACTTCATTCTGCTTCCATAGTCTTCCTACTAAGGAACATCATTAGTTATCATCATTAGTTCATCAGCAATCATTAATTCCCCGAAATTCAGAATTTTCTTTATAATTACTGTCAGCTTGACTGCCTTTTCAGTGCTGTTATTGGTCACAATATTGTAACATTGTACAGTGTCTTGACTCTGATTACTTCAGAGAAGCCTTCCTACATTTCTCTGAATTCTTCATGTTCTTTGTTTCTTTAAAATTTTTTATTCATTTTAAACTTAAATTCAAAATGGGAAGAGAAAAAAAGAATATTTCCATGTACACAGCAGAAAATAAGAGAAGATTCAATATAAAGCAATCAGTTTCCATTTCATGAAAACCTATGTAATAATTCCTAGACATTGTTTTCAAAGCAACCCAGCTTTTCTGTTTCCTTCTAAGTTTTCTTTTCCTCTCTGATGTGTATTTATTTTTTTCTCTTCCTCTCTCCTTCCCTGCTATCCTAGAGAAATCTGCAATTAAACACAATGTATCTATATATATGTGTGTATATATATATACACACATATGGATACACATTCATGTATATCTTTTAAAAATTAATTTATTTTAAACTTATACTAAAACTTAAATATGCAATAAGAAATATATTGTAAACTTGAATACTAAAACTTAAATACAAAATAAGAAAAGAAAAATAAGCATTGCCATGTGCATAGCAGTACATAAGAGAGTATTCAAAATATACAGCAATAGATTTCTATTTCAAGAAAGACTACCTATATAATAAATACTACACATTGTGTTCAGAGTTGTCCATCTTTTCTTTGTATCCTTGCAAGTTTTCTTTTGTTCTTTGCTGTGCACTTTTTACTTTGTTTTCCCCCCTTTCCCTGGAAGGCTACAATTAAGCAAAGATATATTTGTATACATATATACATATACATATAATTACATGAAAATACATACCCACACACACATATATACACACCCACACACACACAAACATATGTACACTTACATACACATACATATACTTAAATATCTATAATCATACTCATATATTCCATATTCATTCATATGCATCTATGCAAGACCGTACTGTACTTAATTGTCCTCTCTTTTTCTGAGGGTGGATGTCATCTTCCTTCATAAATCCAATTGTTTCCACATTTTCTAAGTCCACAAACTCATCATTTCCTACACCACAGCAATATTCCAACCTTATGCTATCTAGTTATTTTAAATAGTCTAAAAACTATCGATTAATGTGGCTGACATATAGTGTAGTTTTCCTGTTTTTCTCTTTTGATTAAATCTATTTTAGCTTCAACTTTGTCTGAGATCATGGTTACTACCTCTGCTTTTTTTTCCGTAATAAATTCTGCTCCTAAACTTTGTTTTATATTTATACATATCTCTTATTTCCTTTCCCTCCTGATTCCTCTACTTTACTTTTACCTACTACCTTGCCCTCTTATTGCTTAACTTAGCCCATCTTGAAAGATCCCTCCATTATCCTCTTCCCCCACCCTTTCCCCTTATCTTTTGATTCAATCTGAATTTAGAAGAGTTTTATAACCTTCCAAATATATGTTATTTCCTCTTTTGCATTCCTGTTAATCTAGATACCCTTCTATATCCCCCCTTATCCTTTTCCCTCACCCTCTTATTTTTTTTTATAAATTTAGAAGACTTTTATTGATTTCTAAATGTATATATTGTTCTCTCTTTAACACAGATCTGATGTGAGTAGGGTCCCTTCTAAACATCTGTCCTTTATCCTCTCCCCATTCTCTATCCCCTTACTCTTTTATATTTCTTTGTGAATTTAGGAGACTTCTCTCTCTCTCTCCCTCTATGTATATGTATATTTCCCTCTTTAACCCTTTCCTCATGAGAGTAGGGTTCCAGAACTACCAGGCCTCCTTCCCCAGCTAATTCCTCCATGTCAGTTCTTCTTCTTGCATCTAATTTATATGATAATTATTCTTTTCACCTTTCCCTAAGTAGTTTCACTTTATAGAACCTCCTCATACTCAGGGTTACCCCAATCTTTCTTTCAACTACTCAATTACTAATAACAATCTGAGATATATGTTTTACATTTCCTTGTATAAAGAGTAAACAATCTATCCTTATTGAGTTCCTTGTTATTAGTCTTTGATGTGTACCTTATATTTCTCTTGAATTGTGTATGTCAAATTTTCTATTAAGTTCAGATTTTTTTGGCAACAAAATCCTGAAAGTCTGGCAATTCATTGAATGTCTTTTTTTTCTGTTCAGGATTGTGCTTAACTTTGCTGGTATGATATTTTTCACTGCAGCTCCAGTTCATTTGCTCTTAAATATAGAGTGTTCCAAGACTTATGGTCTTTGAGTGTCACTGTTGCTAAGACTTGTGTGATTCCAATTGTGACTCTGGCATGTTTGAATTATTTTTTCTTTTTTCAACTCGGTAAAATAATTTTTTAGTAATTTAATTGAAGTAGCATTGAATAAATAGATTAGCTAGGTAAAATTGTCATTTTTTATGATACTGGCTTTATCTACCCATGAACAATGAATATTTCTCCAATTATTCAAATTTGACTTTATTTGTATAAAGACTGATTTATGTTACTGTTTATGTAGTTCCTGGGTCTGTTTTGCCAAGTATACTCTCAGGTATTTTATACTTTGTAGATATTTTAAATGGTTTAAAACAATATTGAATTATATTGGTGACACATAGTGTAGTGTTCCTATTTTTCTCTTTTAATTGAATATATTTTAGCTTTACCTTTGTCTAAGATCATGATTACTATCCTTTTTTTACATAATATATTCTGCTCCAGCCCTTTACTTTATCTCTGTGTGTCTCTCATTTTTATTGTGTTTGCTGAAAGCAACATATTGTTGAATTCAGATTTTTAATTCATTCTGCTATCTTTCCTTTTTTTGGGTAAATTCATCCCATTCACATTCAGTTATAATGAATTTGTTGTGTATTTCCCTCCATCCTATTTTTCCTCACTATCCTCATCCTATTTACCCTATCCCTCCTCACTCACCTTCTTTATTTCTACCTATTACCTTGCCTTCCTGTTCCTTAGTCTACTCCTCTAAGAGTCCCTCCCTTATCCTCTACCACCACCTTAATCAATCTTTCTGAAAGTTTCTCCTTCATGCCTCCTCCTAATTCCTAATCTATATACTCTTCTAAAAGTCCTTCCCTTATCCTATACCCTGGCCCTCATATTTCTTTCTAGATTTAGAAGATTTTATACAATTCTAGATGAGTATGTGGTTCCCATTTTAACCTGTTTCCAGTGAGAGTAAGGGTCCAGCACTACCAGCCCATTACCCCCAGTTGCTTCTTCTTTATCAGTTCTTCCTTTGATGCCTCATTTGCATGACAGAATTGCTCCTTTTTACCTCTCCCTATGCAATTTTATTTTTTAGCCTCACCCCATCATACACAGCTCAGACCAAGCCTTTCTTTCAAACTACCCAAATAATGATGAAAGTTATAAGAATACTGATAACATTTTCATATATAAAAAGTAAAGAGTTTGACCTTATTGAGTCCCTTATAATTGGTTGTTAATATTTACCTAATATTTCTCTTGGATTTAATATGTTGAATTTTCAATTAAGTTCTGCTCTTTTTGTCTCAAATATCTGAAAGTCTTTCAATTCATTAAATGTCAATTTTTTTTTTCATTTTGGGTTATACTTAACTTTGTTGGGTAAGTTACCCTTGGTCATAACCCCAGTTCTTTTACTCTGCAAAATAGTGTTCTAAGACCTATGGTCCTTCAGTGTAATAGCTGCTGGTTCTTGTGTAATCCTGATTGTAGCTCCATGATATTTAAATTGGTTTTCTCTTGTTGCTTGTAATATTTTCTCCTTAACCTAGGATTTTGAAACTTGGCTATCGTATTCCTGTAAGTTTTCCTCCAGGGATCTTTCAGGTGG